ATCCTGGATATAAAAAAAAAACTAAACAAAAATGAAATCACAGTTAAAATGATAACCTGTCAATCACAAGGTAGTCCCGTCCAAAAGCATACGCTGCATTATTGTCTATTTTCCCCTAAATAGGACCATAACATACTAAATGAACATCGTGCTGTGTTGAAGACTTGAAACTAGCGACTGAGACTATAAACTCATTTAAAAGTGTTTACTGAGGGAATAAATCAGCTGAGAAGAATCAACATTTTCCATTATTTCTAAAGGAACTCGCCCCCTGCTGGCCGTTAGAGAACGCAGGTTTAAGTTAGAGAAATAACATTTGACAACCTCTCGTCACGTAACTACAACTCTGGATTGAACATCGGTGCGCACCAAGAGCTGCAAAACAACTGCAGGATGTTGAGTTTCATTAAATTTTTTATTGGCCATCGGGCCACCGTTATTGTCGAGCCCTGCAGTTTAATTACATAACTATATATTCCCAGTATCTACAGCAGACACTGTCCTCACCAGAGAAACTGCAATATAGGTTGTGCAGCACGTTATTATGACCCATATTTAGTTATTGTGGTTGCAGCCTGCAGTGGTCGTAGAGCGGTAGCAAAGTCGGGTGACGGATTGTGAGTAAGCAGAAAGTCAGAAAAGAGGCAGGATGCATCAAACCTGACCTTCACTCAGGATAGCCGTGTTTAAGTCCCATGTGAAACAAAGTTAGCTTTGAGGTATTTAGAATCTAAACTTGGCGTTGCTGACTTCGTAACTTACGTAATTTACTTACTTTAACCCAAACCACAACGTTTTCCTAAACCTAACAAAGTAGTTTTTGATGCCTAAACCTAACCAAACTGCGACTTATTCACGATAACCACCTGTTTAATGGCATGTGGCGTAGGTGAAGTGGCCTACGTCACGCAGTTAACGCTCATGTATCGTTTTGGAAGGCATTGATGAACGCCACCAGTAGGGGCACTAATTTAGGAAATGTTTGTGTTTTGGGAGGCATGGATAAAACGACCTACGCTGTCGTTGGGTAGGAGGACGTGTTGATACAGCCATAATTCCTTGTTTAGTTTAAACCCAGCTTAAACTGCAGTTTTCCATCACTGTAGTAAATGTTAGTTCTTGGATTCTTGTGTTTTTGTTTTTTTTCCACACAGCAAAGAGGAGAACCAACTGTAGGTCTTTGTAAACGCTTGTGTGTTGACACTATTCTTGCCCTCCCCTCTTTCAGGGCATGCTATGGTGTTCTGAGGTTCATCATGGAGAGCGGCGCCAAGGGCTGCGAGGTGGTTGTGTCCGGCAAGCTGAGGGGTCAGAGGGCCAAGTCCATGAAGTTTGTGGATGGCCTGATGATCCACAGCGGAGACCCCGTCAACTACTACGTCGACACAGCAGTCCGCCACGTCCTGCTGAGGCAGGGTGAGTACAGCTCGACCGGACACGCCACAGCAACCTTCTGCTAGTTGTCATTTGATCTTTTAACACCTGTGCCACTATCAAAACCTGGTTATTGGTACTGAAACCAAACCTCGTTATACATTACAGTCCTCGGGAGGAGGGTGCATTTTTATTGTGGCTCTGAACTTCATAGTTTTTGTTTCTGTTGGTGCTGATACATGTTTATTGACACGCTTGTTGGTCACCATCAGGTGTGCTTGGCATCAAGGTCAAGATCATGCTGCCCTGGGATCCCAGCGGTAAGATTGGCCCCAAGAAGCCCCTGCCCGACCACGTCAGCATTGTGGAGCCCAAGGAGGAGCACCTGCCCACCACACCCATTTCTGAGCAGAAGGGGGCCAAGCCAGAGGTGCCCGCCATGCCCCAGGGAACCCCCGTACCCACCGCATAAAAGGGTAAGACTGGGCTCATGATGTGAAGAGGCAGTAACTCGTTAAATGTAATGTGTAATACTCGAGTACGCGCTGTAGGCCTCGACAGTGATGTACGCTTTTTAGGTGAACAAATTAGGGTCAATCTGTCCTCCTTAATTTATCCCTGATAAATAAAGACAAATTATAGTCTCGGGTTTTTGTCCCTTCAGTGATGATACGATGACGAGTCGGAGCAGGGCTCAGTCTGGTTCTGGTGGTTACTGGTTCAGATTCACGTTCTGTGGTTCAGTTCCAGTCCCCCAGAGCAGGGAGTCCTCAGGTGAAGACATCGAGGCATTTGTCTGAGAAGGGTTGAAGCAGTTAACGTTGACTCCTTAATTATGGTTCGTGAATACAATTGCGACAAACTGACCAAAGCAAGATAGCTCAAGTACAAATACAGCTGAACTGAAGCTTAAAATTAATTCCTACTTTCACAGGATTTACTTGAAATGTTTTAATATACTTGAAATTGCCAGTTTTAACAAACATGTTTTAACCTAAGATTGCTTTAAATCTAAAGTAAGCTGTATGATTTGAACCGGCTCACGATCAGTCATAACCTGTTCACAAAGTGGTTGACTAATCAGATTTACTGAAATGTTTTTTTTGTGTTTTTTACAGGTTTTGAAATGTTCCACCAGATGGAAGCAAGATCCTAATTTTTGTGTACAAAAACAATAAAATCTGGAAAATACACTTGACATGTTGTGGTCACATTTGTTTCATGTAGTCTTAAGAACCCAAGAAAAGTCAAAGAATTTCAAACTTTGCTAGTCAAGTAGATAATTAAAAGTCAAGCTCATCTTTCAGTACATTAAAATAGACAAACAAATATCTGAGCAAACAGAAAGCTAAACTGTCACCAGGCTGACAAACGAGGTTTTGCATGGTAGAAAGAAATTGACTCAGGTTTCACTTCAAATGTCAGTTCATTAGGTTTTCTGTGCATTAAATTGAATTGAATTGAATTATTTCATTTGCCATGCATGAATATTTGCTTATGCATCGCTTTCAAGATCCCATCACAGCATCTCAATGGGGTTGAGGTCTCAAGCCCAAATGATCACCCCTCTGCTTCCATGCTTGATGGTCAGTATGAGGTATTTGCAGAGATATGCGGTTTGGTTTTTGCTAAACATCTCCACTCTGGTCTCACCAGTCCAAAAGGATGTTGTTGCAGGACTTTTGTGGTTTGTTGAAATGAAATTTTGCAAACCTAAATTGTGCTGCCCTGTTGGAGAGAAGGGGCTTTTCCTAGCCTCCCTTCCATGAAGTCATAGTTAAGTCTTTTTCTAATTGTGCTGAAATGTATTGAACATGTAATGTTTTTACAGAGGCCTGTAGGTCAAGTGATGTAGCTCTTGGATTTTACAATGTCTTATAATTAAACGGATAAATCAAAGAAGGTAAACACAAAGTTTAGGTAATTGCAGAAATATACAATTTACAGGGGTCAAGCAATTTAACAAGTTATTGAGCAGCAATGGAAGTAAATGAAGACTCAAAAATTAATGCAAAAACAAATTTCTACATTTAACACCATAGTACAGCCTGAGTTAATACACCCTCAGAAGCTTTATTTGTGCTATATTGTATATAATACTGAAGAATGACATGGTCCTACAGGGAAAAAATAAACCCTAAACTTCATAATATATTTATTTTAATATCTGAAAATGTCTGTTTTTGTGACGTAACGTTTTGAATTTTGCAGTCTGCTGCTTACTTTTATACCATTTAAGGTTTTTCAGTGGACAAGAAGTTATTGGATTTCAATACAAACAATAAAAATGTGGGAAACTTTTGACCGGTAGTGTATATAGTTTTTTATTTGTCTCATAACTGGGCATTATGTGCAGTAAAAGGGCGTTAGAGTGGAAGAATTGCAGTTTAAAGTCACGTGATACCTTCCTGATAAGGCGATGTCTCACTCTGTTCCATTTCGTGGTGCTAGAAATGCAGTTTGCATGTGCAGCAGACCAGAGGAAGTTTCCAGGGCAAGATTTTATGAAAGCACCAAAATATTTAATATTAATATATATATATACATATATAAATGTTTTGTAATTTGTTAATGAAGAAACAAATTGTTACATTTTATTAATTGCATTTTCTCCTTGTTTATGGCATTAAAGGCAGGTTAGGCGATTTATTTGTTACATTTGTTGAAAGTTTATTGATAAAATAATCTGGTGGCTGTAAGTTTCTTGGTTGGCCTACCTGCCTGTCTGCCTACCTGTGCATGAACATGTGTGTTGGTAGAAAGGCTCTAAGGGAGTCTGTGGGATTTTTTCAGTTGGATACTTGTTGCCTTTACCCCATAAGTGTACATATAAATACCTTACCATAAAATACAGCATTACAACCAGAGGGAATTGTCAAAAGGAAGATTAAAGATATTTAATAGGCTGCAACATTTTAAATTGTGGGAGGTATAAGTAAATAATTATCAGTCTATATATATATATATGTATATTTATGCTTTCGGTAGATTTGTAAAGCACTCCCATTGTCTGATTAGCATAATCAAACAAATGTTTATGTAACCACAGGCAAGGTGGTGGTGACAGATTAGGGGTGTGAAGATGCACATCAGGGTCATGAACACAAGTCAAGAAGAGATTTTAATACTATTTTATATGAAATATATGAGTGGCGGTTTGGGGGTCCTCCCCCTGAAGATTTTGAGCATTGAACACTTAATTTCCTGCATTCTAGAGACATTTTCTGCACGGATTTATGCTGAAAGTGTCTTTATAGAAAGGGACACACAAAATTCAGGTGAGCGGTGACAATTCAAAATCTATAAATGTAATGGACTATAATACATACAGTAGGCCCAATCAGTAGCTTGTTTCTTTAGCTCAAGTTACTTCTTTTGGACAATACAGATTTGTTTCTTCTATATGTACATTGCATTGCACGTTTTCTTGTTGTGAAAATAAACCTTTCTCAAAGCGTTTTCATTTTTTATCATATCTTGTTGCTTTCAAAAAGTGGTGGGGACATGTCCCCAGCGTCCCCAGTGTAAATGACACCTATAACCCCACGTGATGCTGAGAAGGCCAAGAAAATGGTCATGCATTTCTTTTACAGAGTGACTCATCTTCTCAGCACTAAAGCGTCAGGTCCGGGTTAGGCCACGCCCACTGGCTCCTACCTGTCGAGCAATGTCAAAAATTCCTCGCTCCCACCTGGACAAACACTGAAGCCAAGATGAGTCTGCCGGACTACAAAACACATCAAAAACAGTTGTCCCCCGCAGCTCCGGTAAGAAAAACTTTAAAGTACTTTTAATAATGTCACAGTTTGGATATTTAGCGGAGCAGCGTAACCTGAACAGGTGGATGAAACTTTGCCGTTGGCCTGAATAATGAGCCCATTATTCACTGCAGGTATTTTCTGGGCTTGTTGAAGGCGGTTTTAACAGCTGACATGTTCCACAGGAATTTGTAATCCCACTTCGAGGAAACTCCCGAGTTATGGTTGAGTTAATAAGTTTATGTCTCGTGTCTGGGGATTATAAACTAAGCAGCATAATAAAAAGTACAATGATAGCGGGGTAGAAGTAAAGTATCCTGTCACCAAGTACAAGCTCAAAGTGGATCAAAAGACTAAATGTACTTAGTTACTTTCCAAAGCTGCATGAAGACAACTTGTTTAAAATGTAAACTGAGTTTATTTTATGCTCTTTGTGAGAAGAACAAAGTGCTTTTATGATGCTGCACAGGCCTGTTTGTATTTAGGCCTAATTTATATTAAATTGTTTAATTTGTGAGAATGTATCTGCCTATTATCATCAGATAGATTTAAAAACTCTTAGCAAGCTCTAGCTTTCACAGGATCAGTGCTGTCCCACAATATTATTATTATTAATATTATTTTATTAGCCTATCCAAAAACTACAACATCTGTGTTAATGTACCCACGATGAAATAATGTGTGCTGTGGCTGCTGTTACATGCTATTCCACAAATGGAGTTTATACTTAGTTTATTGTTTACATTCCAGTTTTCAGCCGTTATTAGTACACTTATCAAAAAAGTGTATAAAGTTTTTAACAACATGAAAAGATGTAAAACTCTGTGTATCTGGTTTTGGAGTTTAACATGAACGATTTAGTCCTGTAGATCTGCTGTCACTGCTGCTGGACCTGGGTGTTTCAGGAATAACAGACATGACTGATTTTCTGACAGCAGAGGCATGTGTCTTATCATCCTGAGCAAATCAATTTGTAGGTGACTCATGCTGACGCCCTTCGTGCACAAAGCGTGTGTGTTTTAAAGTATTAAACCCAAACTATTTCAGTATTGACATAACTTTCAGTGACATGAAACAACAAAATGTTTGAAACTTTAGCCTACAAACATTTTATATTTCTACCCACACAATCTGAATAAAACTTGACGAAATTAAATTTCTGTCAATCTACTTTGGCTATAATATATTATCTGTGACCAGATATTATTAACAACACACAGAGCAAGATTTTATTTAAACATTCATCATTTGAATTAAATATAATATCTAAATTATAACCTGAGTGATACTTGATTTAAAGGCCAAGTTTCAAAAGTCTCACAACACATTAGTTGATACCTTCTTTTTTTTTTTCATAAACAAAATCAAACATTTCTGATCTGGTTCACTTACATTTGATTACAAAGATATACAGAGCAGGACAATGGTTAAAATACATACTTGTCAGTGCTCTCTGTTGGACAAACTACTGTATGTAATAGTGACTCTTGTTTCCAAACTACCTTGAACACATCATTGGTATTTCAGCTCAACAATTTTATTAGAGGTGAAACTATTAGTCGCTTAAATTGTTTAGTTTGTGAGACAATTTTCACAATTGATTAATAATTTTTAGGCAACAAAAGTCTTGTTTAGGCTCCTCAAATTTGAACATTTGATTGTTTTCTCAGTCTTCTATAATATTACACTTAAATATCTTCTCAGTATTGCACTGCTAAGCAGAACAGACATTTGAAGACATTAATGTGGGATTTGGAAAATAGTGTTGGGCATTTTCTTTTACTATTTTCTGACATGGACTAAACAATGAATTGAGAAAATAATTAATTATTTAGTTGCAACCCTAAATTTCATATTACCTATCTGTCATATATAATGTCAGTACTGTTATATCTGCAATAAGCTAATGTGTCCTGATATATCGGCCCGGCTCTGATCTAAATGTTTATCTAACTAATAAGCCAACATGACAGACAGCTGCTTGACACACTTCTGAAACCAATACTCAAGGAAGATGACTTCTGGATACTAAACACTTATCTTTACTACAGTATGTCATAAATAGAAGCTGACAGAAGCAAGAGAGTTAAACTCGACTCTGGCCTCATTTATTTTTGAATATATATCTATCAGTATTTACACACACCCAACAGCTGCTCAAACATTCTCTTTTCTTTTTGATTATTTATCTCCATGTTATTTATTTCATGTGCAACTACACATGAAATTTGTGTTGACAGTTATGGTCACATCTCCCACAGGACATGTGAAATCTAAACCGTGACCACTGTAAACGGTCTCCAAAGCAGCAGTGCACACAGAAAGGGAGACAACAGTTTCATATAGCGAGAATAAATTAATAATCTTTCTCCTCAGCACTCTCCTGTTGTGCAGTTAAATGTCGGGGGTCACCTGTTCAGCACCTCTCTGAGCACGCTCAGGAAACACCCCGACTCCAAGCTGGCTGAGCTGTTCAGCGGGCAGCCCAGACTGCACACTGACCCACAGGGACGCTACTTCATCGACCGCGATGGGTCGCACTTTGGAGGTGTCCTCGACTTCCTGAGATCAGACTGGCTGCCCACAGAAAACATCCAGGAGGTTTGAGTCCTGTTTCATTTATAAGTAATCAAACTGCCTCACCTGCATTAAAGAAATCCTGATAGTTTACTGGACTTTTTTCAACAAAACTCCTCCTGGCGCTTCAGAAACAGACGTCATCTACCCGATTGTTTAAATGTATTTTAGTTTTCAATATTGTTATCAGAGTCTGCTGTATGAACCAACGCGCGTGTTTCTGCAGGTTCACCGGGAGGCGGTGTACTACAACATCAAACCGCTGATCAAACGTTTAGAGGAAACTCCTCGGCTGTTCGGAGAACTGGTGGGAAGGCAGCAGTTCCTCTCCAGGGTCCCGCACTACAAAGAAAACATCGAGGTCAGCTACACCCACTGATGTAGCATGAAAGCAAAACGAAAATCCTCTTAATTTCCAAAACCTTGTAACCTATAAAATCACAGCAGCCTCCAGCTTTGATTCTCAGCTCTCATCGTGTGTTTCTTCTTGTCACATCTTTTTACCTTGTTTCTGTCGGCGGCACTCTTTTATGCCAACTGTAAAAGACAAACAAACCAGAGCTCAAGCTAACTACGCAACTGCTCTTCTATTTTCTCCTGACAAATCTCAACCTTAGATGGATTGTTTTCTTCTGGCAAAGTGCTAATAATATCTGCATAAAAATATCTAAGATTGTTACCTTAACTTTAGCCTTTTTCACTACAATAGTAGACTATTCTCATCAACAGATAAGCTTCAATATATTACAACCCCTAAATTACCATTTTATATATATATATATATATATATATATACACCAATACTTCATTATTCAGTCAGATGGTGTTCATGTTACTCGTTTTCTGTTTGGGGAGGGGGATTGTTTGAACTTTTTGTCTTGCCCTAACCTATAGAGAGAGGGGAATTTGTTGACTTATGGGTGGTTATTTCTGTATGTCGACTTACAGAAACCTCTGCAGCACTGCTGATGTCATTCACACTTTTTTTTGTGGTAATTTTATTCAAGCAATGTTTTTGAATGTTCCTATTATGAATCAGCAAACCTGTAGCTCTAAAAAACTCTGAGTGGCTCCGTCGTTATACCACCTATGATGGCAAACAGCAGTTAATTTAGATGACACTTTTATCCAAAGCAACTAACACTCAGGGACACATTGATTGATGTGTTGCAGGGGGGATTAAACCCAGGTCTCTCACACAGGTATGTGTCTTATCCGCTGGTCCATCACCACCCCAAATACCAACTGACAGAAGAAATTAAATGTGTCTGGATCAAAGACAAAATGCCATAAAATGACAAAGTATAATTTAAACAAAATCTTATCATTAAATTATCAACGTGTGTTTTCCTTTGTTAAATGACGCTAAAAAATGCTACTTTGCAGTGGCAAATGGTTCCACTGGCTATGTTCAACTAGCATGCAGCCACAGATTCACAATGTTTCTCCTGTTATCCACAATCCAAGTCATCTATTTGGCTGTTGATGTATGCAGTAATTTGTCTTTTCTTCCAGGTGCTGATCCGTATCGCCAGAGCCGAGGCCATCGCTTCCCGCCACTCCACCATCATGATCTGCGTACTGCGGACGGATGAAGATTTGGGTTTCTATGACAACGCCATCAACTGCCTGGAGGCGGATAAGGAGTCGGTGGTGACGTTCGGACCCTGGAAGGCCATCCCGTCCGTTAAAGACCTGCTGGACTGTGTGAAGATGGACATTGAGAGTCAGGGCTACAGGGTGAGCATCCAGCCGCACGTCATGGAGAAGAGCTTCCTGTCCAGGAGCTACGACTACTTCTACAAAGTCATATTCACCTGGTGGTGATGAGAGGGAGGCTTTTCTCTGCAGACGTGAAAGCTGAACATACTGTTCCCAAAAATAACAGCATATAAATTATCTTTTGTTAAAGACCAAGCTGCTGGGTCTTGATTTTGAACACTAGCCATTTCAGACACAAGGGGTCAGCGAAGCATCTGTACATAATACATTTCAGCGGTTTAAAGCTGGGGCGAGCAATTTATGTTCTAGTTATATATTTTCTTGTATTTGTTGAAATTCTCTTTTCATCCAGACAGCAGTCAATAAACGCAAAACTGAAAAACATCCATAACATGTGGCTGTGGCAGGACTGTCATAAGTACAGCCAATCATTTTTATTCAAGAATAAAACAGTTGGCTGGCCTATTTGCCCGCCTACCTGCGCACTTTACCCGTGCTTTTACTGTACATGAACACGTGTTTTGGGGGACTTTTTTTTTTGGGTTGATATACTTTTAAAATCTAGCTGTCTCGTGCTAGTTTTTCCAACATTGCCTACCCCAGCTTTACGATAAAGTGACGGGCCCACGTAAGTATTGATGTATCCCTACTGTCTCACGACAACGACCTTTATCTTAATCTGTTGATTTTGGGGGCTTATAAATATAAATATTATTTCATATCCTGTAGATCAGGAAATCAGTGTCAGTGTAATCATGTTTAACTGCTGCAAAATCTTAATAAACAGCAACCCAGTTACTTTATTATTTTTTTGCACTCTAAATTTCGAAGCAAGTTGTTTAATCAGGCAACTTTTGTGCACCAGCTACTTATGTTATGAGTTGATGCAACAGGTTTGGTGTGAAATACGTTCTATATAATGTATTGTACCAGGGGGAATTCAGTCGCTGAGGAAAACACTGCGTCATACACACAACAGTGGGCAATCCACGGCCCAGATTAAAAGAAACAAGAAGGTCAGAAAGCGCAAACGCTGTCAACAGTAAGCCGAGCGGCGGCCCCAGTGTTCACCACAAAGCAGAACAGGGTATAAAACATCACCTCCATGTCAAACCACTTCCTTCATGACTAGTGTGTGAAAAAAACAACAGTAAACAGTGGGTACAAATATTGTCTTGTAGTAGAAAAGCCAGAGATTAGATTAGTCTGTGGTTACATCCATCAAGTATTCTGCTGGTTTGTCCTTATCTGCCAGCCTCCCACCTACTCTATTTGTGTTTGGATGAGAGCGAAGTCTGAAAATAAATTTAGCAACGTGTTGAAATAATCTAAATTTAAAGTTCATTGGACAGTTTTTGTATTCAGTAGACTATATAACTAATATTTTTATGTTAAAAAGATAAAATTAGAAGTCATTTGCTCCTGAATTTCAATCTTGGATATCGTAAGAAAGTGTCTGGACTGCGTTTAGAGCATTTAAATGGGACACTGAAACTGACAACTGAAAACCAGAGGGACAACTTTACGGGGTTAGCAGCAATGTGACTCATCAACTCAATGCGACGGAAAACATTATTAATTTAATCAAAACGTTTATAAGTGATTATGTAAAAAAGACAATTTCACTGTAGACCTTCTCAGCTGGAAGCTTGAGGCTTTGCCTTCTGAGGTCTAATTAAGGGCTCACCACTTTTTCTTTTTGAAAAACAAATTCTTGTTTGGGGTCTCATCTTTTATGTGACAGTGCTTATGTGAGAAAACTGAATGCTGCAGGAATTTTTCCTTTCAAGGAGCAATCAGTGTCAGTCTTGGTCTGTCAGCTCACCCATTTGGTCCTCACTGAACAACTATTGGATGTTTTTGCCATGTTTTGGGGTTTTTGTTTTTATTTTCAACAGTACAGTGGTTTCAAAATGAACAAAAAACAGTTTGGGAAGATTTGAAAGATAAGTTTGGGTCTCCACCAAAACACCGGGGCCAAAGTGATATGTGCCTTCCTTTTTTCAAAGAAATGGCAGGTGTGGACATGCAACCTCTACAGTATTTTCACCACAGTGTGTCACAATCACACTTCCTCTTAACACCCCCATATAGAGAAAAGTTGCACACTGTTGCATTTCTCATCTTGGATCCAATTACAAGAAAAGTGACACTGATTAAAAAAACAGGTCACAAGCCAGATGGTTTTATCTTTGTATAATTTGAGGCATTTCTCCCAGCATCCTCAGCAGGCTCTGAGTTCACTTAGCTGACGTTGGTGTTTTGGTGGTGTTTGTTCTTATAATTATTGTTTTAAAAAGATTTTTGGCATCTTTAACCCTTTATTAGAGTCAACAGTACTGATATGACCCCAAATGATGGGACAGAGAGATTAGACAAAGGTATCTCACTGGATTCAAACCTAGGATGACTGGCGCCTTAACCCCCTGTTCAACAGAACACAAAATCAAAATAACATCCAGTGACAAAAACACTATTTTAATTATTCATAAGATGGTAGTGGGTCGTCTGAATTAACTAAATTTGTTCTGGAGACTGAAACTGCAAATACCAGTTCATGTTGTCTGGTGTTGAGAGTGTTTGTGTATTATTAATTCTTACAAAAAGGTATCAGTAGAATGAAATTACTGTCGGTTTTCAGTGTTGTAGAAGTGAGTCTCAGTATGAGAACAAGGTGGGGGACCTTTTTGTTTTGTTTGTTTGTTTTAACAGCAGACTAGAAAACAAACTTTCCACATCCCAAGGAATCACAAGACTAGTAAAGTGTCATACAAGCATTTCAAAGGAAAAACTAAAGGAACAATTTCCATTTCATGTTTTTTTTTTTTTTATGTAAAATTAAGGTAGCAGGTTTTGTAATATAATGTAAAATAAAGTAGAAGCAGTACATTATTGTTCACTTGTAGTGGTTTGATGCAATAATCTCAAAGCTCAAGGTTTTTCCAGCACTTTCAACTGCATTTAATGATGATCTCCAGCTGCTGAAAGCTGTTAAGTGGATTGTAGATTATTTTGTCAAACTACTGTTTTTGAGGACAACAATGAACTTTCACGCATTACGAAGTGAAAGTGGTGTATTCATGATTGAATCATTTGCTAATGAATGTAATATTTTTGCATTTCCAAACAGCAGCTCATCACTCTGTATGTGTGCATCCTTTAACGAGCTACACGCGCTTCATGCTGTATTTTAGCGGGACATCATATGTGGCATTGTCTAATTACATGACACTGACTATTAAAATGATGTTCGATATTCGTGTCCCTCATGAAAGATGTGTGTGTGTCCTGCTAAGCTCATTGTAACACAGGAAATGAAGACGGTCTTCTAGAAAGAGCAGCAGCAGCAGAAGCAGCAGAGAGACGAACAGAGCTGCTGTCGAGATGAAAACACAAATGATGAGAGTGCTGCTGCTCAGCAGTTTGCTTCTAACAGGTATGTTGATTTTGCAGCATTAAGATTGAATTTGGAACTCAAAGACATGTAGACGGCAGGGTCACATAAGATGCATAACAAGCTGTTAATGTAAAATTTTAATCTTAAAAGTACGACTATAGCTGTCAAATAAATGTAGTGGAGTAAAAAAAAAAAAAAACAGCTGAAATGTTTTGAAGAAGTATAAAGCAGCATAAAGTATGCATAAATGTTCTTGGTTTCTTTATACTAATGGATTTGGTTGTGTTTCCATGTCTGATATTTGGTCCCATTCAATTTTTCTTTTGTAGCACATTCTATAATTAATCAAATCTGCCTCTGTGAATATATCTCTCATAATCACATATTATCTAGTTGAAAAAATGGCAATTATATAAACACAAATAAATCCCAGTGGGGTATTAAAACTCTTGTTGTGTGGGCTTTACCTCAAGATTATTGAACAGTGTTACATGTAGCTTTACTTCTATGTCTGTGTAGTTAGTTTTACCCCTTCAAGCCTCTAAAAAATGCGTCAAATGAAACTGTCTGAGAAGAGAAAATATATAGGCTAACTCTTTGCAACAACTTCCAGACATGCACAATGTGACGAGCAGCGGCCGCTAGTAGCCTTGTCATTGCTTTGTATTAAAGGTCACAAGCTAATGTAAAAACATTAGTAGTGTCACAACGTGCAAAAGAGCACAGATTTCCATGTAATACTGGTCATCTTCTGGTGATGAATCTGGTTGGGGTTTATTTAAATTAGAAAAATTTAAAGAGAGAGAGTCACTTTTCTGTGATGCTGACAGAGACTTTTGTGTTTCCAGGTGTGATGTGTGTAAAAAACGCTGTGTTTGTGTACAGCAAACTTGGAGGTGACGCCCTCCTGCCATGTAACGACCTTGTTTCACGAGACTGCTCCCTCATCTCCTGGACCTTCTACAAAGGCGGCGATGTGCGGTACACTGAGGAGGTCAGCGGGGGGAAGGTGAGAGCGGACTCAGACAAATCCAGCCGCCTGTCCATCACATCCAACTGCTCCCTCAGCCTCCGTGACCTCAGGGTCGACGACGCCGGCTCCTATCTCTGTCTGTGGGATGGTAAACGCCTCACTGATGTTTACCTCTCTCTCCTCACCATCACTTCACTTTCCACCATCACTGATCTGCAGCCTGGAGGACACCTCACCCTGAGCTGCATCTTGTTCACCTACTATGATGCAGGGAGCTGCAGGAAGTACTCCAGCATGTTCAACCTCAGCTGGGTGGCTGAGGATGGTTCTGTGCTGCCCAAAGACAGCAGGTATAGAGATGACCACGCCCAACACCCTCAATTCAGTTAATGCAAGGAAAAATAACAGGTTAAAACAATCCTATAACTTAAATCATACCAATGGAAAAGTCAGATAATATTCCACCCAAAAACAATATATGTTATTTACTTATCAGTGTGTTAGCCTAATGTATAACAAACCAACGCAATTATACCTGATAACATTAATAACATGAACATCCTGTTTTAAGAGACGGAGCTAAAGACAACAAGAAGCGGCGAAAAGTGCTGATAGATCTTAGGGTAGGATGGAGATTATACCAATCACATGCTGCTTTATAATAAAATGATCCTGCTTCAGTAAAAGTTCTTGGTGCAATAAAAAAAGGGATGTTGCATCTGTCTGAGTGGATATGGAACTGTACAAGGAACTAAAAAGTGTTTCAAGTATGGAGGACAGTTAAAGAAAACACATTTGCTTTGGGCTGAAAACCAGTTAAGCGACTCACACATAGAGCGGTGATGAGTGTTAAATGGACACCTCATGACAAATCTACAAAGACAATTAAAAACAACATTAAGAGGCTTGAGATTGGTGTTAGTGGTATTCATATAGATAATGTCAAAGATGGATGGGTCAATCGAGTGCAGTGCTTGCAGCGGTTTGGTTGGGTGGCCGGAAGATGCATTGCAGCATTTGGTGTTCAGTCTCGAGTGTGTGTCACGTCACTGTTTTGGCCCCAGTGCAAGCGCAAGCGGCAGGATGCTGACTGCAGTTCAGTTTACGGCCACCGGTGTCATAAATAACAAGGGTTTTCTGAAAGTTACACATAGAAGCTTTAACAGATATTTTTTATTTTAAAAAGTTACTAAATTAACATCACAATAGAAAGAAAAACAGCTTAATACCCTATATTAAACAGTAATTAATACCCTTGTATTGAAGCCCATTTCTGACAGAAAAAAGGAAATAAACAAGTAAAAAGTTAGGATCAATATTCTATTCTATCCAAAAAATATATTTCTACTATTTTCCAGGTGGAAATTGACTTCCATACGTTATTAAGCACAAAACTGTATTTAATTATCAGTTAGACTGATATTATTCTTAATTTTTCTTATTGTCAACAACTCCCATAAATGAGCCAAAACCAACAATGTTGTTAGTCCGACTCAAGTCCAGTTGTTCTTACTGAAGACGCAAATCTCTAAAGACGACTTACAAATGCATAGTTTAATTTTTTTTGAAAGGCTCAGTAATTTCCTAAAACAGCTGACCACTAATTTCTTCAATAAGGAAATAGAGGAGGAATCTTGTGGTGCTCTAGTCAGTGTGCAGCAGGACTTTGTATGTGGGGCTGAGTCAGAATAAACTAAAGGAAGGAAGTTGTGTTCAAGAAACAAAGTGAGGCTCACTGATGTGTTTTGTAAGTTTATGGACAACAACGGAGCTCTATGGCTCAGAGGAAGAAGAAGTATCATGCTTTGAATACAGACACAATACCTGTTGTAAATTCACTGTTTGGATTGGGAATTTGTTAACAATAAGAAAATAACTCAAAAACAGCAACGTAGTACTGATGAATAACAGCTGCGTCATGTTTCTCTGACGCCCTCTTCTCTGTGCAGGGACGAGCTGATTGGGGGCACTCGCTGCAACACCACCCTGGTCACAAAGCTCCAGAGGGAAGACAAGAACAGGAAGTTGAGGTGTCAAGTGACGACCACAGAAAACAGCAGGGTGGCGTTTCTGGACTTCACGGCAGCCTTTTTGTTTGAAAATCATCCCACTGCCCAGAATCTGACTAATTCAGCCACCATGGGGTGTCCAGTAGAACTGCCCATCAGCCGCATCATGCTCTGTGTGGCTCTGCCAGTCATGGTGATCATAGTGGGATTCTTCACAAGGAGAGGAGGCCGTAAGAGGACCAAAGCATTTGCAGCTGGAATAGAGCTTCAGGAAATGAATTGACTGTTCAAGCATGATTTCTCTCCATTTTCAAGCCCCAAATCTCATCCCAGACATTTGCCATGTTACAGACGTTTTGTGCGTTACAATTGAGATTTTGGCTTTTTAGATTTTAGGCTAGACATCTGTAAAGAGTGCCAGTTGTAAAGCGAAAACTTCACAAACAAATTGTTTATCAAACTCAAAAATCTAAAACAACGTTGGGTGACGATTGAAATGAACCATAAAGATAAATATCAAGAAAAATAAACTCCTGCACATTGGCTTTTCTTCATAACTGCATGATTTCTTGTTATAAAATTCTTCAGGCAACAAATACAGTTTCATCGAGCTTAATATGTCAGTTTGCAAATGTATATCATGTATTTCACAAAGAAACTGGAAAAATCTGAACAGAAGTGAAAAAAGAAAGAGGTAAAGTAATTTAATGCAAAAAATATAATTCAATTTCGAATTCAAGTTTCACAATCATATCCAAATCTCATTTATTGTTGTTTTTTTGGCATTGAACAGCTTCCCCTCTTCTGTGTATAATTTATTAAGAATGTATTTAAGAAGTCATTGAAATTTCACAGGAGCTACAGACTTTATTAAACAAGCAGCTGTTGTTTCTAAAGTACAGGCAGAGTTGCTGGTAGTTATTTAATAGAAGTAGCATTAGCTGTAGTCGTAGTTGGACAACTGTTAGTATTAGCAGTGTAGATCTCTGTAGCTTAAATGTTGGTGGTGTAATAGGTAAAGCCAGATAAAAGGAGCAGCTCTCCCTCAGGAACTCCTTTGAGCACATCAGCTGCTGCAGTGGATGTTCGCTCAAGTCTTCGTGACACTGCTTCTGTCATAGAAGTCAAACTGTGAAGTGTCGTGTTTAGAAAGCAACAGTATTATGAGCGGGGGAGGAAAAAGAATGACTTTATGAATAAATATGTCATAATGTCAGTTACAGTTGTGTGTATTTGAATCATCTGTATTCTCTAAAAAAGTGCATTAAATTTACCACAAAAACATCTACAGCATTTTTTTTCACATACTTGTCCTTACATTGTTGTCTTAATCCAGTGCATTACAAAATGGTCTAAATAAATTAATATAATAACTAAAGCTGAAACAAGCCAAAACTTTGATAACTGATTAATTGTTAACCTCGTTTTTTTTCATGCAAAACACCCAACCAATCAATAGTTGCAACCTCTCTATGAGGATTTGCTGATGTTCTCTGTTTTATTCCACATTGTGGACTGGATGTCTTTAGATTGTGGACTGCGCTTGGACAAAAAAAAATCTTCTAAAAAAATTACCTTGGCTTTAGGAACCTGGAAGGGACATTTTTCATTATTTGATGTCATAAACTTAACGAATAATCAAGAAACAAATCGTATAAATCGTTGCTGCCTAATAGTTACAAATTAAATGTAAAAACTGTGTAAAATTAAATAAGTTATTTAAAAAACTCGAACAATTGTTGATGTAATGTTTAAGTGTTCACATTTTTCCAAGTGTGTTTGTTCTGACAGTCACTAAACTGACTTTTCATGTGAACCCATCCTTTAAATACTGCTATGGAAATAATATCTGGCTTCATAATCCTGATAGTAGTCAAATGTCAATTCAGTAAAAAAAAAAATCAGACCAGCGTAATTTACAAAACGCGTTTTACTTTTCGTTACCGTAGCTACGGGAAAAGTGAAGGGACAAGGATATGTTGCTGCTGCTGAATAGGAAAGCTTAGCTAACGCTTTCCCTGAACATGGCAGCACATTTGAAACGTCGAGTTTATGAGGAATTTTCCAAAGTTGTACAGGTGAGCACGTGAAACCCTTTTATCGCTGCACGCCGTAGACTCATAACTTAAAATGAAAGTTGGTCTTGAGAGCTAACTAGCCTCGGAAGCTAACGCTACATGGCTACATGGCTAACTAGCCAACAACAGCTAACAGTCACAACATAACGCAGGTCAAAGCTGCTGTTTGTGCAAAATGAAAGCTGTTATAAATCAATCTGGGCTGTGACTCAATTCACTCGTGAACAACCTACCTTGTCAAATGTTATCTAAGTTTTAAGTGCAAGATAACAACGTTTAATAGCGAGTAACGTTATTGATGAAATTAAATTCGTTCATGTGGCTTGTAAAAGTTAATGCTCACCAGTTATTGGTTTCTTTGTCACGTTATTTTCAATATCCATCCATTAATGATCAGCTGGTTTACAGAAATATCTTGATCATCTGTTAACAGCAAAACAAACGAGTGTATCATCTCCTAGATATTAACACTATGCTCTATATTAAGGTGCCATAAGTTTATGCTAAAGACAGACTTTCTCAGCTTGGAGCTGTTTTTCGTGAGTGACTCTGAGAAGCTGGCTGTGAATTATACCCATGATTGTATACTTATGGTATGATCTATCATTATTACCCCATGTCAGTAATAATCACCCATCAAATGTTCACACCCTTGATTGTTCTCCCTCTAGTTGATCTTAAACTTCGAACAAATCTAGAATAATCAAAATCAAAAAGAGCTTTATTGCCAGGTAGTATTTTACACTTACGAGCAATTTGCTATGGATGTGCAAGTTATAAAAGAATAATAGAACTATGTGTAAAGGAAACATTTGCGTTACTGTGGATTTGTGTTGTGCAAACATACTAGAGGGGGAGAGAATTTGTTTTTATATAAATATAAAATTTCCAAAATAATAATAAAGCCACATTTCTGCTAATTCTTATAAAAAAAACAGTATGAAGCAGTGTTGGGTCATAAGATTCGAAGAAAAGAAAACAGTGAGATAAAATGTATTTAAAATATTCACATGTGACAGAGTAATGCTAAATAAATAGGGTAGGTTGAAGGTTTTGTCTAACCAGAAAAGGAGAGAATATACACACCCTGAGGGAGGATTATTACACCACATCCTTTTTGTAGAAAATTTTTTTTCAGTTTCAGCTGTTTGATGCTTGCAGATTCCCCATGAAGAAACTCCAGCCAAGAAGCTGCGTTTGTCCAAACCCAGTAAGTCTGCAGCTCTGCACATTGACCTCTGCAAGGCCACCAACTCTACTGATGCCCTGCAGTACCTGCTGCAGTTTGCACGCAAGCCTGTGGAGACGGAGAGCGTGGAGGGTGTTGTCAGGATCTTGTTGGAGCACTACTACAAGGTAAAGAACTAAGGGTCATAACCAGAAACGTGAAAATAATCCATGGCTTTAATAGCTTTATAAATAAAAAGATAAAGCTATTAAAGCCGTGGATATAAATATACAAATATCTTGGTTATGTTCATTTGGTTGAGTCTAAGCAAAGCTGATCAGACAAAACACATCTGATGCTGCTGATGTTTTCTCTCTTAGGAGACAGATAACTCGGTGAGGCTGAAGATTGCCTCTCTGCTGGGTCTGCTGTCCAAAACGCAGGGCTTCAGCCCCGACTGCATCGTAGACGACGCCATTAACACACTCAGCAATGAGAGTAAGGCACATTTACACACAGTCTGAAGCTTGCCTTGTTTTACTTTCTTACTTACACATGCACATTACATTCTCTGTCCTTCTGTTATCTGGTTACTTTTAAACTCAACAAGCCATAATTACACAAAATGACATTGTTTGTTATTCACTAGAGTTCTTTGACATATACTGTGATTTGTTTTTAGTTTTCTTATTAAAGGTTTTATTTAAACATATTTTGAAATACGGGTATTAAAGTTTTCAGTGTCCTCTATAGAAGAGCAGTGGAAATTGCAACAAGATCTACAGAATCATCTCTGGCGAAACACTAAAAACACTTGAACATAAAATTGAATGATGTTAAAAAATTTGACCTCCACAAAACACACATTTTAAAAGTTAACAGAGTGTCTGTGTTTGCTCCGTTCTGTCTGCAGAGTCCCACCAGGTTCTCGCCCAGCTGCTGGACACTCTGCTGGTCATTGGTGCACAACTGCCTGAGAGTCCTACCGTCAGACACAGGCTCATAGAGGTGGCCTGCAAGGTGACACACACACGGTACTCATCTTAAAGTCTTCTTTCTGCTTTCAACAGGACTTTCTGCATAACGACCAAAATCTTCTGTGTTATTTCTCTTTCTTCCTCTCAGCACCTCTCTGATACGTATTTCGGGGTGAGGAACAAGTGTCTGCTGCTCCTCGGATGTCTCGGCATGGTGGACACTCATCTGACCAAAGACAACGAGGGGCTGGGCACATCGTTAGGTTTGTGCCATCGTTCAGTATATTTAGATAGCTGAACTGTGATTCGGTCTTTCCTTACTTTAAGATAACATGTGTGCATGCTTCTCAATGTCTCAAAATGTTTGATATATAGAGAGGAAAATATTCTACAAGAACATGTGTTCGTTTTGGCATTTTTTTTCTTTCACTTTTTACGTTTATTGATTGGAAATATTAGTTTATTAGTTGTTATGGAATTAAATAAGCCTTTAAAATCTCTGCCAAAACAGTCAGAACTCTAATTTATTCTCAAATCTTTAAAATCGCTTCTTGGAAACTCACATTTATTGATCGTGCTTTGAGTTGTTGTGTGACATTTTACGTTGTTCCAGGAGGAGTGAGGGACGTCCAGAGTATCATCAGTGACTATTTTGGAGACCAGGACCCGAGAGTTCGCACTGCAGCCATCAAAGCCATGGTAGGACAGCGCCAACACCTGCCCTCACCAAAACCTAACCAGCATATCACTCTTTTATTTACGGACCACACACACAATAAAATTATAACCAGCAGGGAGAAACTCCAGTCTGCTCTTATTCCAGCTCATACTGTTTGTTTTCCAGCTGCAGCTGCATGAGAGAGGAATGAAGATTCATGAGATCATTTATGACCAGGTAACAGCGCAATTTATATTTACTGAAACCTGCCAAAATAAAAAATGTGGATGTTTAGACTTATGTGTTGTAGAATACTGGTAATTATGTTAATCATCCTCTGGTGGCAGCCATAGCAGACAATGGCTGCTACAGTGGCTATAAATGTGTGTGTACATGTGTTTGCAGGCCTGCAGGTTGCTGTCTGATGATTATGAGCAGGTTCGCTCTGCTGCCGTGCAGATGGTTTGGGTGCTCAGCCAGCTGTACCCAGAAAGGTGAGACTTTCAGAATAGCTGCAGAGCTGGCTCCACTTTCTGCATCAACAACATCACAAGCTTTATAATAAACCTTTTAATAATGAACTTTACAGAACTTTTCAAAACAAATTTACAAAGTGGCTGAAACAGGAGGAAACACATTTCAGGACTGTAATGAAAAAAAAAAGATAACCAAAAATAGTTCTCTACATTTTTAAATTTCCATGTAGTGGCTGTACCACTTTGGAGTGGCCTTGCCTGACTTGTAGTTCACTGTTCTGTCCAATCAGCATTGTGCCCATCCCGTCGTCCAATGAAGAGATCCGACTGGTTGATGACGCATTTGGGAAGATCAGTCACATGGTCAGCGATGGCTCCTGGATGGTCCGAGTGCAGGCCGCCAAAACACTGGTGAGGGAGACGGATCAGACCAAGAGATTTTCATCTCTATAAATACTCAGTTCAGTTTGTCACTGGAGCCCCTTTAAGACGTGTATCTCATTTCCAACAAGTCTGAACTGAATGCTGTTGGATAAAGACTGCAGCTGTTTGGACATTATAAAAAAAGGCAGCAGAATTTTCTGTCTAATGAACGATTGGGATATTCACTGTGAGAAGATGGTTGAGTTTCCTTGACACTCTCATTCATGTTTCAGTCCATCACTGATGACGCTCTTCGTTCTTCAAATCATTAAACCTTTCTCCTCACCTCCGTTTTCCAACAGTTACACCGCTCCCTCTCACACGCCAGGTGCCAAATAACATGTATGCATAGTGGCTCTTTCTCACAACAGCCCTGTTAAGTCTCATTAAAGCCATAGCGAACACTAACATAACAGAAACCTATATCTGAATGACAAAAGTGAATCTTTTCTTGTGTGTTAGGGTTCGATGCTGCAGGTCAGTCCTCACTTTCTGGAGCAAA